AAGCTGAAAGGTTAGAATGGTTACATTCCCACAGCAAGACCACGTTGACCTTAACAGGACTGTGGTCAACCTAATATGTTTATGTACTCATTTTAAAGGAGAATAAATAGTTGCATTTTGATTCTGTCCCTTCAAAACTTTGTTCTTCAACTGTAAATTTGTTTACACAGTGGTTAATTTCACACATCTGTAGACAATATTTTAATCAGAGAATGTTTTTTATGTGCCAAAAGCAATTTACTGTGCAAATTTTCAGTGATTTGTTTTAATTCCATTAAACAAATGAGTCAAACTAAATGAATATGTGATATTAAAAAATCAGAACAGTGCCAAGGAAGATAGATAGAGGAAGTTAGCAATTACGTCTAAAGTAATTTTGAACAGCTGGTATTAAATCATTAAGGACAGATGCCCATATCCGCACTGTAGCTGATTTTAGCATCAGCACTACAGACTACAGACTACAGCTGTCTGCTCAAATGAGACTACATTATTAATAATCATAAAGCAATGCCTCAACATTAGTGCATCCGTTTTAAACCAGCAGTTACGCCAACTAAGACTCAATTTTGAGCAAAGACGACAGCATGTGCTATTATTAAGAAGACACGCTTAATATGAGTTAGCGATTAAGGGTATTCCAACAAGGTCTAATTTCAGGATTTAATGCTGACATTACTCCCAAAAACTCAAGAATTTCCTTTAACTTGCCTCTTCCCCCTCATCCCTTTATAACAGAAGACTAAAGCAGAATTGAGCAATAAAGGTGGTGTTCACTTATTGTGCTTGCCCAGCCTGCCTACCTCATGTGGTACCTATAATTCTGCACATGTATTTTGTGTTATTGTGGGGGTTAACAAAGGTGGCAGTGATGCAGAGTAAGGATTAGAGAAGTTAAGACTGTGGGGAAGGTTTGATCCCAAGCCAGCCAGGGCACATGTCCTTCCAAAGGCAGGGCTCTAAGCATTAAACCATCAAAATGTTAGCATGGGTGGGTAATTTGGGAAGGAAAACCACACGATTGAGTCTTTTCTGTTGGCATCAACATGCAAAAAGAATCACATGAATGTTGTGTTGGAGGAAACTGTGTGGCATAGATAATTAGAAAGCCCTGACTAGTTTTGCTTGGCCTACAGCTGTGGTACTAGACTGCAAAACAAACTCTCAAACAGACGTCACGCTGGATGTCCTGTGTTAAATTTTACAATCTAGCCTAAGAATCTGAATAAGTGCCAGCCTGTCTGTGTTCTAACTAAGATAAATGCACACAAATGTGTAGAAGTGAAAGAGAATGTTTTGAAATACTGTACACATTACATTGAAGTTGGTCCAATCGCTGCCATCAGTGACATGCACAGCTGAAATTCCTAAACGCTCCTCAACCTCCCACTATTCACATCATGTTTTTAATAGACTTTGATTGGATATTTACTGTGTCCAGGGCCAACCACTTCAGCCTGCAAATGTTTCTGTTATGCTTGCACTAACCCGAACATTGGCAGCCTGACTTCTTCCTGCAGCTGATTGCTGGTTTGGTCAGAAAGCAATCTGTGCACAGAAGTAGCATGGCCAGAAAATACACTCCTTGTGGAGTCACAAAAACCAACACGAAAGTACTAAAATAATTTATTAGGAACAGCAAGAGATTTAAGTCTCATGCACTGCATCAGCTTTATTCATATCTTTTAAGACACGTGTTGATCTGCAACCCTAAATGTACCTTAAACGTAGCTACAAACAGATTTTAAGCCTGGTGTTCCCTCTTCTTTTCTTACCAGGCAAATGTCAGTTTTAATGGGAAAGCCTGTTGGATTATTAACTCAGTGGGTTTATGGCTTAAAGAGTAACTGTGGTCATTATCCAGTGAGTGTGATGGTCATTAGTCTGTCAATTCCAACACGTTGTCTGCTCACATTGATATTCACACTCTACTGTGAAAGTAAACAGAGGCCACGGAGTGTGCTGGTGGCTTGGCCTGATAATGTGCGGCTGCAACTCCTTACCTCACCCCCCCTTTTCTCTCTGCTTGCCTGACTCCTCTCTCTCTATCTACTGTTAATTGACTTTAATTTATTGACTTGATAATCCCCCAAAAGGGTATCACATGTCTTTGGTTTTTTTTGCTCTTAGTTCAAACGTACACAAGAACTTCAAAGCTTTGATTTGGTTCTAAGCGTTCTCCATTTTATATTTCTATTCAATCATTTCTTTCTTTTGTATGTATGTGCACACACACAGACACACACACACACACACACCACGCCCCTGATAACCATCAGCTCCAGGGCACACTCTATTGTTTCAGCTCAGTGCTAATTACTTCAGGTCTTGACCCCAGGTTCAGCCATAGAGCAGCAGAGGGGGATGGTATGTATGCGAATGTGTGTGTGTGTGTGTGTGTGTGAGCATAGAGAAGTGTGTGTGTTGGGGGTTGGGGGTGGGGTTTGGCTGGGTGGACAGGTCATTGCTGCTGCCAATCAATTGTCACAGTGGATTTGCCTAAATATCACAGTATAATCCAGGAGGGAAAACACAGCAGCACAATGAGACCAGCTAACCTGACTGCTGCTTTTTCCCCCCTGTTTAAAGCATTTATGCGAGTCTCTTATCAACAGCAACTTCCTATAAATACCTCACACAAACATGGTGAAGACTGCCAGGTAAAGAAATAACAGCTAGGGAAGGGAGTAATCCCAATGAACAAAATAGTTTGTTAGCCTGCAGCCCTGCTCATTACTATAGTTTGGTGTGTTAATGTCATTAGAACAGTTAAACAGTCCATTTAGGAAGTGTGTAGTTTTTAATAGGATCTGTCTTGTATGCCTCAAATTCCATCTAGGTTTCTCTGCTTTGTGTCTATCGGCAGAAGAAGAAAGGTCAATTTGAGATGAAAAAGGCACATATTTGTGTGTGTTTCTGGGTCATGTGTGGAATGTCAATACCAAATAATCTGAATGCAGTTGTTTCAAAGGCTCGAAACTCAAGTAAATAATGCTGACGTGTAGTCAGACTCCAGATATGTAGAAATCCCTTGATTTCAGAATTTTCACTCTCAGTGTTAGGATGCATGTAGATTGAGTTGAATACGGTCACTAAAATAAATAAAACGTTACTCTTGCTGCAAAGTAGCATTAGAATGTGAGTTCAGGTATTTCTAGTAGATTACAGCTGGCAGACGCGTAAGTCAAGTCAAGTTCATCTTTATTATCGCTCAAATATTTGCACAGCGTCCCACGTAGGGGTTGGCTGTCATCAGACATTATCTGTCTTGTCTTGCTACTTTTTTGTCTTTGGTATAGGTCTCCCACCAACTGTTGGATGATGTCTATGATTTTGTTGGCATGTTAAACTGCCCTTTTCATGTTTGAAATGATCGTGATTGCATGTGTTCCCAGACATGGAGATGAGGAGAAAGGAAAAGACGCTCTGCATGACGGACTGATAATATAGTGTATTATAAATGATTTTAGCCTCATAAGAAAGTGAATTTGTTTTTTGCTATATTTGGCTGCTGCACATATATCAAATTTCAGCTTATCATTTATTTAAACTCCCAGGTACTTATGTGATGTGACTGTCACTGGGTTTTTACATTAATCTCTAGCTAGTTCTGTACACACCAGTTGGTAAAATGTGCTATTTCTCCTGAGAAATGAGACAAAGACAATGGGCCATGGTCCAGCAAAGCAATGATTGCTGTATCATCTGCATATTTTATGTAAAAGTAGTGGTCTTGTGTAAGTGGTTTGCAGTCATTTGTGTAGAGTACAGGTGACAAAACGCACCCCTGGGGTGCACCGGTGTTTACGTATTTAACAGAAGACATGGTGATTGATGTCCGGCCTGTTGAGTTCTACTGGTGAGTACGCCATTAATCCATCTGATCAGTCTTGGGTTGACCCCTGAGCCACTGATGCGGTTGAATTGTATTGGAAGCACTACTGAAATCAACAAGATCCAAGAGGTGGAGATTCAAGATGTTCATAAATTATATGCAATATCGTCATTAGAACATTGTCAGCCCTCCAGTTTGGTCTAGCAAACTGAAACTCATCCACTAGTCCATTTATACGTGTTAGTACAACAGGGTATAGGTGATTCATATGCGCTTTATGGGGACAAGGACCATTATGGACTGCTTCCATAAAGCAGGAATGTGTTAGGATAGAGAACTGAAATAGTCTTAGAATTGTGCAAATCACTTGGATGAAAGTACAATTCAAGAATTCCTTTTCTCCTCCTGAAATATTTGCAACAAATCCAAACACCTTCTAACTCAAGTTCACTTCCACAGCAGAGAAAAGCCAAAACAACACTCTTCACTGCTAGTTTCATGCTGTAAAAGAAAGGTCTTCTCCCAGGGTGCCACGAGCAAACAAAACCTGTCCAGTATGTGCATTCATTGCAATGCAAAACAGATTTCCAATGCTTCAGCATCACTTAAGGCCCTACTTTCAATTACAATGTCATGAGCACTTAGAGCTGACGGGCCTTTAGAGAAGGAGAGTGGAACCTGTGGTGAAGTTCCAGACAGGCTTAAAAGACCATTAGGGACTTTAAATGTAAAATAAAATAAAACACACACACACACACACACACACACACACACACACACGCACACACAGAAGAATCCACTTTTCAGACGCTCATTTTCTAAAAATACAGCCAATAAAAATATATGTAAGCCACATCAGCCAGTATAAATACAGGTTCTGGATATTGTCAGAATGAGTTGGGAAATTCTGTCTGATTTTCTTTGGAGAAGGAGAGGAGAGGAGTACAGTGGGGAAGCACATAACAGGATGAAAGAGGGAATGAAACAAGGAGACAGGAGAAGAGAAAAAGCTGAAGGAAAGGAGAGGAGAGAGGAGGAGATGGGGTAGGGGGGGAGAGGGGAGGGGAGGCGGCTCGCTCTTCTCTCTCTCTTTTCTCATGGATCCCGCCCTCCTGGTCAAGGGTTGGTCAGGGAAACACCAACTCCCCACATGGATTGGTCGGCTCTCCTTTGGACGGGCAAAACAGTCTCCCCGCACAGACACAATAAAGTTTAGAGCTGGACGCTCGCAGGCAGTAGGCGCTAAACTAAGACCGCTGCATCGCGTCGCTGCGCTGCGCTTCTCCACACGGAGTTATTAACGGGAAACAGCACAGAAGGACTGCGGGATTTATCCAGATGTAGGTTTTTTTCAACTGGATGCACGCATTGCTTTAATTAAAAACACGCGCTTTTCATTACGCACAGCTAGCGCAATGGTTCACTGCTGCTTTCTGGATGTTTTAATCTATTGAATGGCACCGAGTCGGATATTATAGCCTCCAAAACGCACGGAGTACACGCGCTCCACTCCTGCTGGACTATAAACACGCGCCGCGGTTTCCAGGGCGACCGAACCTAACTTTGTGTTTGAGGAGATAGCAACTGTGCCAACATTTCCAGAGGGCAGCCGCTCCGGTGTCGCGGTGACCATGCCCGGGACGATGGTGTCCCTCGGCGGAGCAGCCTTGCTCGTCTTGCTCGGGCCGCTCTGCGTGGTGCAGGCTTTCGGCGACGAGGTGGAGGAAATGACCTGCGACCCGATCCGGATCAGCATGTGCCAGGGTCTCGGCTACAACGTCACCAAGATGCCCAATCTGGTCGGCAACGTGCTGCAGTCGGACGCCGAGCTGCAGCTGACCACGTTCACGCCGCTCATACAATACGGCTGCTCCAGTCAACTCAAGGTAACTGGAGTGATGTCAGACACATTGAATGCACACTAAATGTAGACAGTGTGTTATTAGAGGGAGACACTGAAGGTCTAACGCGCACAAATTTAGGAACACTGATCCTGGACTCAAAAAAAGGCATGGCGAGACAGTCTGCTATATTTATGCGTGTGCAGAGAGAGAGGAGCGGGGCGGGGGGCGGGGGGGGGGGGGGGTCCCAGAGCACATGACAGTTACTAGCAATAGTTGACTATCCCGTGAACTGTTCAGACTGATGGGTGCCAGTGATAATGAGGTGCATGATATGGGCTGACCCCCACAGAGTTAAAATAAGTGGAGTGGTCCCTGCTTTCCTTCCTGTTGTGCCAGGCCGTCATGCTAATTTCAATGAAAATGCCCCCTCTGTCTGTTGACATTCTGAGTTCATGCCCCACACCGCAACAGCTGAGTCTTCAGTGCTATATACTGTACCGGCTTCTCATTAACAATGGTGCCCTCAGTGTCCCCAAGACAAATGCTGCTTGTTTGCCTCATGCAACATGCAAAAAAAAAAAATTTGATTGGCCCTCTTATTCATCTCCCAGATTTTATTTTATTTAAGATTATTATTGGAAAGACTGGTGACACAACATCTTTGGAAATTCAAACAATAGTGTCTATGAATGGAGGTTACTTTTTCTGAAATGACATGTATTCTGACATTTTTATTTACAGATACCCTTTTTCACACCTGTACACACACACCTAGACATCTGCACACCGGCATTAAAAGCAAGATGCTCTTTGCTCTTGCGTTAGTATTTCAAGGAAGGTGGGATGTGGAGATGCGTGTGACTGAGTTTTTTTGGTGACTTTTTATGTGTACAGGTGTTTGAAAATAGGGTTTAACATTATTCAGACATGCTTAATTATTACACTGCTTAAGAGACATTTGTGTGCATCTGTGTGTGTGTGAGACAGTCAAGGAGCAACTGCAGCCGAAAGCCAAACTGTACTCCTCCAGCTGAAAAGTGTCCCGTAAGATTAGCTGACAACACCACCACCCCCTCTCTCTCTCTCTCACACACGCACACATGCACACACACACACATGCTAAAGAGGACGGAAAGGGGAAAGGGAAACAGTATCCCCTAACATTTGCTCTAATGGGAGGCTTCCTGACTGGTAACCGGAGCAGCTTTTAGCAGTGAAGTGACAGCACTCAGGTTACCAACAGTCGGGGGAAAACACCCAGAATGTGTTACATTACTGTCGCTGGTAAAGCACTCATAATTCATAAGTGAGAAATTGTGTTGCCTCTAATATCATAGTTTCTGCTTTTATAAACTTTTTGTGAATTGAATCATGTGCAATCAGAAAAACAAACCTCCACACACACACTTACACACAGGGCGACTGTGCAACTTTTTTAATTTAATCAACAGCAAATTACTCAGGACAACTCCAATCCGTGTGGTTCAGTTTGGGAATAAAAGATTCTCTATTTGTGGTGAGAAACTTAATACTGTATTCAGATTAGCCACTCTGCTCCATTTGCAGAGATAACTATGCGCTACAACCCAGATAATGATCAGAGAACAGTGTAACACATTTTGTTCGCTTTGACTCAGATAACTGACTTTGACTTCACATATTGCCTCACAGTCATTAGTACAGTCAGCAGTTGTGAATCACGGTTTAGACTCAAAATCAAAGAAAAGTCTTGTTTTTTGTCCTAATGTAAAGTCCTGTAGGTATGTAACAGAAAAGTAGCTCATGGACTCTACTTTTACTCTTATATGATTTATTTCACGGTTGTAAATTTTATAGGCCAAGATTAACATGGTGCACAGATGCACACTTTTTATGTTTGCTTAGCAAATAAATTCTCACAGAAATTAAGAGTTGTATAATGTTTCTGTGTATTTATTTCCCAACCATGACACCCTTCTTGAATTTATGTTTTGTTTGGGCTCCTTTCAAGGGCTGCTTTCAAGCTGGGCTTTCTTTATCACTGGATCAAGGCTGCACGGCCCACAGCATTTTGTTCTTATTACAGCCCATTAAATATTTAGGTATTTGAGGTATAAATGAGAAAAGGCAGAAAACCTCCACTCTGACACGTTTTAGTATTTAAAGTCGGCCTGTCCAAGCTCCCGGAGCGTACGCTTGTTTCCTTTACCTGAAGGAAGCCGATTGAAATGCATTTCAACGCAAAGGCATGAAATCACTTAAAATTGCAACCTTTTGTAACCCTAGAGTACTTCTTCCCTCACATCCCCAACCCCCTCAAATAGTCATATGTGACTTCAGACTGTACACTATCTTTATAACCCTGACTTAGATATCTATTTCAAAACCATTGCCATGGGACAAAGAAAACTGAGCCTTGGATTAGGAGGATTATGGAGCATTACAGGGCACATGCCCTCAGTGATGTTAAATTCACAGATTGCTTTTAAAGACGCACAGTTGTATGTATAACCTTGGTGCAGGTTAGTGTTGGCCGTGGTGTTTCGACTCAAATTGTGGAGTTTTCTTATAATTAGAAGTGAAAGTAGAGACCCACCACAAGAAAAGGTGATGCAATGTATTGAAAGCAGAAGCATAGTGAGTGGTATATGCAAGGAGGTGGAGGATTCACACGTGGGAGTACAGGGTGTAGCCACCTACCAGCTGTAATCCTGTTGTAACATATAGAAAGTGGCCCATGGGGTAGTCACAGCACTGTTTCCCCTTCTTTAACAAGCACTACACCACTGGCAGGACTTACCTACTACTTCACAGTTTGCTTTAACTTGAACTGGAACAAATCCTACAAAGCAGTGCACTGAAATGTGACATAATATTGGATAACTGTTACAATCTTACAGCACTTTCAGTCAATTAAGTTGAAATTGGTTTTGGTATACTGTAATTTTTTCACTCCTCAATATGTTTGTTCCCCTCTTTTCTCTCTATAAAAATACAATAGCTGTTATTTGGATGTACTCTCACGCCACATTATTGTAATCGTAATTCACATTTGCAGTATCATCTCTTTAAGCCCATTTTATGACATATGTGTTATTTATTTCTCTTTAAACTTGCTCTGCAGTCACTCTTTACTGTGTGCTATAAACTACAGAATACACACACCCTGCAGAGTTGTGTGAAATATACTAGGAGCAAAATGTTTAACATGTCATCTTTTATCTTCCATTTTCTCCAGTTCTTCCTGTGCTCAGTCTATGTGCCAATGTGCACTGACAAGGTTCCCATCCCCATTGGGCCATGTGGTAGCATGTGTCTGTCTGTCAAGAGAAAATGCCTCCCAGTGCTCCATGAGTTTGGCTTCATATGGCCTGAGGTGAGTCACATCTTACATATATTAACAAATATAACTTTAGGATGTTGTTAAATGGTGTGGATAATAGGATTTATGAAACAAATAGCAAACATTTTTAATCCCATATAGTTTATGTAAATTTGCTCATCTTCACAATATATCACAGCCTTAATAAGCAACTAGAATGCCGTTTCCCATCATGTCTGATCTCCAGGTGCTGAACTGCAGCCTCTTCCCACCTCAAAACGACCATAACCACATGTGCATGGAGGGTCCGGGGGACGAGGACCCACCCTACCAGCCCGTCCGCCATCCACCCCACCAGGAGGAGTGTCAGGCCCTGGGATCTGCACCTGACCAGTATACCTGGTTAAAACAGACCGAAAGCTGTGCTCTCCAGTGTGGCTACGAGAGCGGGCTCTACCGACGGGGGGCCAAAGTCTTCACAGACGCATGGATGGCAGTGTGGGCCGTGCTGTGCTTCCTGTCGACCACTCTGACAGTCCTGACCTTTCTGTTGGATTCGCAGCGCTTCTCCTACCCTGAAAGGCCCATCATCTTCCTGTCTATGTGCTGTAATCTCTACAGTGTTGCCTACCTGGTGAATGGGAGATTCTGTATTACATACTCACATTGAAGTTAATTTGTTGGGAGAATAAATAAGAGAATAATAACTGTGAAATAAAAACAATACATACAACTTAATTTATAGTTGTCTTTTTTTCTCCTTCTCCACTATCACTTTTTGTCCTTTCCTGCAGGTGCGGTTGACTCTGGGTAGGGAGCGGGTTTCCTGTGACCTGGATGCCACAGCAGTACCAATTCTAGTCCAAGAAGGGTTGAAGAGCACCGGCTGCGCCATAGTCTTCCTCCTGCTCTATTTCTTTGGCATGGCTTCCTCACTCTGGTTAGTACAAGCAAACACAGACACACATCTTTTTTAGCGCATCAATCCTTCAACTCTATGTCCCATTGTAATCAGCCGTTGTGAATGGACTTTGGTGGAACAATTGGAACACGAGACTTGCATCCTGTTTTCTTTAAAGTCTAACTATCCTGTCTCATAACCTCTGTGCCACATGGATTCATTTCCACATACAAAGGCAGCCTTTGTAAAAAAAAAAAAAGGCTCTTTTTTTGAGTGCGTGCTGCACTGTAGTTGCAGTGGAAACACACTGCTGTCACAGCTCTTTTTCTTCCTTTTCACTTTGCCCTTGTTTTCCTGTTTGTCTTCCCTTTTGGAGGAGCAACACACTGAAAAACCCAAGGACTTCAATCTCTTCTAAAACATGACCACAACTCTCTGTTATGTAACTCATTATCATCTGGTGTCATGATGAGCTAATTACAATAAAGGCCTGTATGTGTCTGCCTTATGTTTTAGACATAAGGCAAAGTTAAATTTTGAGCAACTCTAGCAGTAAACAGTAGCACAACGTTGCCTGATCATTCTGTTTCCAGGAAACCTTTCATTGTATTTCATAACCAAATTGAATGCCAGTTCAGTAGGGCAATCTGATGACTGTTTTGCCTCTTCTCACTCTTCTTGCTCTCTCTTTCAGGTGGGTGATCCTGACTCTCACTTGGTTCTTGGCTGCTGGACTGAAGTGGGGCCACGAGGCTATTGAAATGCACAGCTCCTACTTCCACATAGCAGCCTGGGCCATCCCAGCGGTCAAAACCATTGTCATCCTCATAATGAGGCTGGTGGATGCAGATGATCTGACGGGACTCTGCTACGTTGGCAACCAGCAGCAGGAGGCGCTTACGGGCTTTGTGGTGGCACCACTGGCCACATACCTTCTAATAGGTAATTGCAGTATGATAGTACAATCAGTGTATCTACTTGTATTTTATATATTCGGACCCCAAATTAGTTCTTTAACACATAAGTGATTATTTTTTATCTTGTGGTCCTTATATAACTTGTTTTCCTTTCTGCACCTCAGGCACTCTGTTCATCTGTGCTGGCCTAGTGGCTCTTTTCAAGATCCGCTCCAATCTTCAGAAGGACGGCGCCAAAACAGACAAGCTGGAGCGTTTAATGGTGAAGATCGGCGTGTTTTCTGTTCTCTACACTGTCCCAGCGTCCACCGTCATTGGCTGTTACCTCTACCAGCTCTCTCACTGGGGGGAGTTCAGGGCCAGCCCCCGGGACTCGTATGTGGCGTCAGAGATGCTTCGAATCTTCATGTCACTGCTTGTTGGCATCACGTCAGGCATGTGGATCTGGTCCGCAAAAACCCTCCACACCTGGCAGCGCTGCTCCGCCCGCCTGCTCAGGGACAATAGGGCGAGCCGAGGGGGCAAGAGGGCACCGGGCGAGGGCTGGATCAAGCCGGGGAAAGGTAATGAGACAGTGGTGTGAGGAGAATGAAAGAGAACGGACAGGAATGGACTTCTGCCTGGTTTCCCCTCACCCAAAGTCACTCTGCCTAAGAAGAGAAGGAGAGGACAGAGAAGAGAGAGAGGGATGAGAGGGAGATGAACAGGGACTGTCTCCAGGAAGCCACTGGATGTAATGGCATCATAAAAGCTCACTGTGAGTCCTTAAGCATGTCTCATCCCCGTCTAAGTGACTCTGAGCCTCTCACAGGGGTAATGGAGGAGGAAAGTGCAGGTTCGGGTCGTGCATAAGTAGCAACAATAGCCTCTCTACCTCTGTTAGACTTCCTTTGCCCAGAGAGACAGAGAAAGCAAGAAATGAAGGAGAGAGAGAGACGGGAAAGGCAGAACAGAAGCACCAATATGCAGACCAGACACACCGATAAGCTGTGTAGCACCACGTCTACCTCTCTGTCTCTCTTTTCTCCAGAGCACTCAGCGGAAGAGACTGAACCTGCTGGATACAGTAACCCTTATACCGTTGTGTCTTTTTCGGGTCTTTTTGAAGTTTGAATTTTACACTGGAGGGTCTTGGTGCAGACTTTAAACAGAGGTAGGTTGACCTTTCCCAAAAGCATCTGACAACTTGAGTTCCTGTGGGTTTTTTATGTCCACACTGGAAAAACAAAACAAAAGAAATACCAGACCAAAAGTAAAATCGGATGGAAACATATAAAACAAGGCCTTAAAATCAATGAAGTTTTACATTTAAACAATATTATTATCCATTTTTGTAAATTATTGCCTTTTGTACAATATAAAAGAGAAGATGATTTTAATTGCTCAGATTTTGTGGGGGGAAACCAACTCTAAGCTGTAATAATGCACTATAATTTTATACAACATGTGAAGTGTGTGCGCTTGTTACAAGTGCATTACCAGGGACAGCAGAGATGGGACTAGTAACAAGTCATTACACAATATGTTAATATGCAGAGAGCCTTTTAACAGAGAGAGTTTGGCCAGTTCTTCTCTGAAAAAATAACTCGAATGTGGTCTATTGCTCAAATGAATACAAATCTACTCAATCACTTTTCTTACAAATGTTGTGAAAGCAGAGAAACACAACAAGAGATTATTTTTTTAAAATCTGTTTTGTACATTTAAGTAAAGTCTGTGGTAGCTATTAAATCATACTGCAATGAATCCTGGGAGCAACCCAGCTGTACCTTTTATTGACCCATAAATGCGGACGCGGTAAGGTGTCTGGGAAATGTAGGCCTGCATGTTGTCTGTGGTCTACGAGAAGCCCAGCTAACTTCCAATGATGTGTGCAGTCTTCTTGGAAACCCTGCACTGTGTGTGCTCTCGAGTTACCGTGAAATCCAGGAAATTAAATTATTCCCTCTGCCCTCTTCTCCAACCATCGGACCTGAGGCAGGTTAAAGAATTAGAGGTTATTAGACAATCATCTGCCAAAAGACACATTATGCAGGAACAAAGAGCTGTCACAGACTCACATGCAAATGTATGCAGGTATACTCGCATGGGAATCAGTTCCCACAAATCTCATCCCCTGACTTACACAGGAAATAGTTATGATCAGTAACAGTAATACAACAGTAATAATAATCTGCCTAACAATCGGTTTTGACTTTCTGTTTAAATAGCCTCAGTTCATTGAGGCCATCACAGAAGCACAATGAAAGTGGCAGCCTGCATATCTGTACGTCTGTCTGTCTGATGCTCTCATTGGCCCACTGCCTGCCTGTTTCTCTTTAACCTTGTCTGCTGTGTTGTGGCTCGTTTCCCAGACAATCAAGTTATCCCTGGAAAAGATTATTGTACATTACATTTCAGATTTCATGGATGATGGAGATGAGACTTTCAATAATTGTCTCCAGAGGTGCATCTCCCACCGTTTTAATCTCTCTCAATAACTACTTATAGCATGTACTAAATGTATGAATTTAAAAGTTATTCCTGGTCCTGACTTGTCATGTCTTACTGCTGCATCCACCAAATTCTGCGACTGCCCCGTGTAACGTATATTTGCCTGACAATCTATCTATCAAAGCTCTTACGTTTCAGTGAGTCTTTGAATGTATAATACGTGGGTTGTGTGTCACATTACGTCGTCTACATTTAAGTAGAGTAAATAATATTTGGTTCTGGGCTTTTTAAGTGTATAAGGGCTTGAATCATTTGGAGCTTTGCCTACCTGTGTGTCATCTAAAACCAGATTGTGCCTCACTCAGCCTGTCACAGGTATTTTTTTAAATGAATGTTTAGAATGGTAGGAAAATCCTTTTTAAAGTGTGGGCTGCCCTTTTCCCCCAAATATGTCAGATGTAACTAAATGTAATATCACCCTTATTGCATTCAAATATACTTTTAGTGGTTCTGGTGAAACTTAGAGCCCTGAAAAACCAGTGTTTCTCAAACCAGCATACCATGGCACACTTATTAAATTTCCAGTTTAACAAACATTACATTTAGTTAAAGTAAATTGAATTACCCTTTGACCACCTCCCCCTCTGAGCTTATGCATTTCCCCTCTTAAACTCTCTTAATGTTTTGGTCGTCTACTCTCAGATTACCACGGTGAGCTTCAGGTGACATTTCCAAACAATCACAGAGTAGTTGAAACATGATGAGTGTGTGCCACGGCCTACTGAAGATTGAGAACCACTGGTGATACAGATTTGTAAAAACCCCACATATGAATAAATGTAGGGAGGGTCGGGGTGGGGGTCGGGGGTCAGTTCATCAACACTGATCGTAGCCTTTAAGGTCTAGACTGTTGCTTTGTGTAGAAAACTTGTTGTCTTGATGATTTTATCGATGTATTATAAAAGAAATTGCTAATTTATCCTTGTAAAAAGTGACAAAAATTGTTATTTAAAAACACTTTTGTATCAGAAGAAGATAATGAATAAAAACGTTTTGGTTTCCAACATGGTGATGCCATTTTGTGTGTTTATGTATGAACATGTGTGTGTGCTACAAATTAGTGCAATAGAATTTGGGCTGCAGCAAATTTTTAGTTTTCATTATTTTTCAATATTAACTGATTAATCTTTATACAATGTTAGAAAATTTTGAAAAGCGCCTGTGTGTCAATTTTTCTTAATAATTAATTCATAGAATTAACAAACATGTAATAGATTCAGAGGAGGCATTAAAGATTAGACTGATGAGTAATCCTGCCTCAGTGTGACATATAGTGACATTTCCTTGCTTCCTAAAAGCCACAGCCAGCAAGTTAAGAATATGAGTGAGTGAGTTCGGGGTTCATGTAGTACATTGCATAAAGTCTTCTGCATGTCCTCGCATTTGTGTTCAGTTAATGGGTTGAGCAATGCTGCCACCTCTTGTCTGATGAGACAAATGAAATGCTTGTGCTGTATGAGGCACTAACGCTCTTGAAGATTTGTTTGCAGCCTCTTAAACTATCTAACTGTGCACATCTATACAGCAGTGACTCTGTTTTGTGTTTCTTTCGAACAGTTACTGTGGGTTAGGATACGAAAAATGCTCCATAACCACTACATTTGTTTTGAATCCACAGCGGAAACACATGATTATACTGTGTAAACATTACCCTATCGTCAATCACATCTCATCAGCTATGAACTTAAGACCCACCCAACACACGCTAACTTACAGCACACCCAGAAACATTCACAGGAGCACACACTCACAGCTCCTCTCACTTTAAAATTTGTTGCAATTTGGTTTTAAAATTACACTTAATGCACGCTAGGTTGCAATTTACCAGCGCAGGGGTAAAATTGCATCTAGAGAAACTGATTAATTCTGGTGCTTGAATGTGTGTGTGTGTGTGTGTGTGTGTGTGTGTCAGCAAAAGAGAGAGAGAGAGTCCAAATATCTAAGTCTGCAGCTCAGATTGCCTTCCTGTAATTTACTGTGAGTGAATTGAGTGTTTGTTTAAGAACTCACTCAAAAGCCTGAGGTATAGGGAAAGTGACAGCATCTACTGCTCTATTGTTTCCAGATGTGGCTCCACTAACACACACACACACACACACACACACACACACACACACACACACACACATGCACAAGCAAGCACGCATGTTCACAAACTGACATGCACAATCACACATACACAGAAAGAAAAAGGAGGAGTTAAATGAGTTCAATGCTCTGAAATTCATACCCTAAATGGTGGTTTCTGTATACGAGAGTGTGCTTGTGTATGCGTGAGTTTGTGGCAAAGCATACAACATGCTGCAGTTGTTCTTTCTAGTCTGTTACAACTTCCCTTTTCACTGAATGCAACTGGTCATTTTATCTCCAGGTTTCTCCTCCTAGGCAGCGGTTTCCACATTTCTGTGGTTTATTTAGAGATTCAGTGTCTACTTTCAACTCAACAGCTCACGGCTCACCCTAAATTCTGATTTTCCAACCTTAAGAATATCAGAAAATTACATTTCTAACTTCAATTCTTACTCACAAATGACAGCTTTCACAGCATAACCTCTGGATATCCGCTCTTGTGGTGACATTTGGACACAACCAGTTCATACTGTAAACACACACACACTGTTCCACTAGCGAACAGCATGTTAGTTTCTTTCTTTTTTTTACGAGGCTGAAAATGTGAAAGGGCCCCATTAAAATTCCTTGGGCTAATATTCCTGGGAATGTATTTTCAGAGTTGGGATCCCTTGTGTGTAATTGTGTGTATGTGTCTGTGTGTGTGTGTGTGTTCATGTGGGTGTAGAGGGAAGAAATAGACTGGAATAAAAAGTGAGTGGGAAAGAGCGGCAGAAAGGCTGAAAAAAGGACCATGAGATGGAGAAAACTGAGAAAAAGAAGAAATGAAAGAAAAACTGAATATGGAGACAAAAATAGAGAAGAGAGAGTAAGTGAGAGGGGTTGAGTGAGAGGAAGAGGGGAAAAGGAAATCTGCAATCCTCCAACAGCAGAATCCTGCAGCTGTTCCCTCTCAGCAATGTTGAAATCATTTTCCCATTCTGCTCAGTGTCTATGTTGTATGAATCGTTTTGAGTAATGGCCACCACTAGGGATTCTGGGTGACGTAGTTGTCTTGGCCCGAGAGTCAATTCAGTGCAAGAAGGATTTGTAAATCCTGGTTCTCGGGCCAAACAAGCTAACGAGCAGAGACTGAAATCCAAAAGCCCGGCCAAGAGAGAGATTGGAGATTTATTCACCATCAAGTTGAGAACAGAGAGCTCTTTATGCATGGCAGGAGGGTGTGAAAGATTTTAGAATTTATTTAATGCCAGACAAAGATGTACTGTATGTTTAAAAGGTCAGGTCAGATAATTGAAAATACATATTATTGTAATTTCAAAGAACAATGCATGGTAAGCAGTGGTGGAATACGTACATTTACTCCAGTACTGTCCTTAAGTGCAAATTTGAGGTACTTGGACTTTACTTGAGTATCTCCATTTTATACAACTTTATACTTCTACTGCACTACATCTCAGAGGCAAATACTGTACTTTTTACTTCTATGCAGTGAAAACCGTGTATTTTAAATTTAAATGTTTCTGATAAACTGAAGGATGAAGTGTTCCTCCATGGGTAGAGAACATTCTCTAAAAATAAACTACGTAAACCCCCCCTTGGATTAGCTGGAAAATGCATCGACACAAAGCTGACATAAATAAATAAACGTGATGATCTTACAGAAAACGATGCATTGCTTAGATTGCTTTCATAGATGAAAGTGGTTCTCAAACCTTTTCATGTCAAGGACCACTGACAAACTGACAAAAATTAGATCACGATCCCCCCATTTTCCCCCATCTGATAGGAGTTTTGCTTTTAGATGAGACCAAAATAGTTATGCATTCTGTTACTGTAATTACAGTGAAAAAAATATTCCCCTATTTGCTACGAACCCTGGGATCCCACTTTTGAGAACCACTGAATTGAAACACCCCCAGTTAATTGATGGGGATTATGTAGGAATGTAAGTGTTTAATGTTATTGCAGTGTGACTGTATATGTGGATGGCTGTGTTCTGCCAGGGCACTGTGGTCCATCGAATGCCCGAGACAAATTTCTATAATCCTATATAAAATGACATAAAATATGCTCAACCTTAAACATCTACAGCAGTAAAATGCAATTTACACATTAATGCACCAGTAATATTAATCCAGAAACATCAAATATAATAGTAAAAAACTGACAGGGACCACTTTTCTGCAGAATTTGAACTTGCTGATTATGGTTACAATCTTAAGTAATGTTTTGAATGAAATACTTTTACTTGTAGTGAGGCAATGCTACTTTTATTTACTTAAAAGATATGAATACTTCTTCCACCTCTGATAGAAAGAATTATGTTTTGATATGATGGAACTATGTTGGAACTGCACTGAAAACATTGATCAGTCAGCCAGTTCTCTGGCTTTACAAAGAAAAGCTTATCTGTATATTAGTTGGTCTGTGGTATATGGAAAGCAACAACATGTGCATGTCTTCATTTTATTCCTCACAGTCATAATATGTCATAACCATAACCTGAAACAACTAACACTGGACTACACCTCATAAACCCACTTAACACATGTCAACTGTGCTACTGCAATCTCTTAAACCACATGCCTTGTCCCAATGTCACCACTAGATGTCCATCTTTGTCCAGACCACCTCCTTACCATCTGTGGCAGTTTTTTCAGTTTCTCTAACTGTAACTGTAAATGCTTGACTTAAGGTTATGCTCCCATTTATCTTAATGTTTTAATCTGTTTTAGGGTTAATCAGAAACTAATCTGAGAAATTTAAAATTTAAAGTTTTTAATTAACCACAGACATTGTATCCAATTTACCAGCCTACTGAGATCATCTCTACTGGTTGGCCAGAAGAGAAGCATAATCTGACGTAATTTGTAACAACAAAACCCAGTTTTAATATTTTACCTATGACTTTCTGCCATCCCAATTCTTTTGATTTCAAAAACATCCCAACAATTGAGAATGTATTTCAAATAAAAGATGAAATCGTTGTATTGCATTTATGGAAGGCAATGGTGGAATGTAGGATATTTATTTAGGGAATTTACTTACATTAGGTACTTGCAAGTATTTTTATGTGATGCTACTTTAATTTTAACTCTGTTTCAATTGTACTGTATTGCTACTGTACTTTTTACTTCACCACATACAAGGTATTACTTCACCAGTTACTTGATGCTTTGCAATTTAAAGGCTCTGCCCACTTACACAGGTGTTTTCAATCACTCTTGCTGATTAGACCTCTAGTCAGGCGTAAGATGGATGGACCTTTGTTGTGAATTACATGATGCTGGCAAACTCCATGTGCTAATAAGAATGTTGAAAGAACACCAAAACCAACAGAAGGGTGAAGGAAATGTTAGTCAAGAACAGTTTGTACACGCCCATGCAGTCGAGAGGAGAACTCTAATAAGGTAAAATGCACTTGTGTAGGGGGACTACATGTACAGGGGCTTTACATTTGTACTGTATGGACATATATACAATACATAAAATATTATGCATGTTGAATAAACTACAAAATAGTATAATATGTAGTTAGAATTTGCTCTGCCTCTATAACATTTAAATGCTCATATATTTTACTGTATCAGCAGTAGAAAAGAGTAAAAGAGTATTTTGTAATATTTCTAGTTTTGCTTAAGAAAAGCATCCAAATGCGTCTCCCACCACAGTTTGATCTCACAAATTTATAATTAAAACAACACAAATCAGACATCTCTTAACCACCCAAGATATTAGGTGATAGGTGAGCTAGTGAACAACCAAGAGGATAACGACTCACAAACTGATAGCTGAGTGCTCACTTTTTATTATATGAAAGCATCTTGATTAATAACCACATATTACAGGTACATGTTTGTCTATCTCATATGGTACATGAAGAACACGTCAGGGGTGCTATTGTACAAAGGCTGTGCTGTTGCAAATGTGTTACAATGAATAAATATATACGGTACCATGTGGGAGAAAGGCTGAGTGATTCCATGTTATTTCAGCAGGACATTTATCAACTTTAGAAATGTCAACCGGTCAATACAGTCACTTCATCTCTGTCTCACTCTCTCACAGAGAGAAAGCAAGAGCGGGGGGGGTTATAAAAAGGGGGACTAAAAGGGTAGGGGGGGGAGACCGAGGGAGTCAGGGAGGGAAGGAAAGAAAGGGCAAGAAGGGGGGGAAATGAGTAAGAAAATGAGAGTGGTGGTGTTGTGTGGTTGTGGAGAAAATTCAGAGAAAAAGATGGAGGGAAGAGTCTAACAAGCAGAAAACAAATGAATCCATTGTTTTCCTCAATCAGAAAGCCAGTTTGGCAAGCTAAATGACTGGAAAATGACTCATACAAACACAATCCATCTCCAAGAGCCTGTCTGGGTTTGTTTCCTGTTAGTTTTGTCCTGTGTGTCTGCACTCAGAGTACAGAAATAGAAGGCATTGAAAGGCCTCCCTATGGTAGATCAGTTTCTTGGTGTCTTCTGCTGGTTTATGGTATTAAAGCTGGGCTAGGAAATTTATTTCAGAAGCATGTTTTGTTATATTTGCTGAAATTCTCTTTACATTTGACAGCAACTGGCCTACCTACCTGCCCGTGCACTCACTGTGCATGAAAAAACGTTTTGGAGGATTGGCATGTGAGGGAAGTCTGAAGGGAGGGGTATTCCTTTTTTGGTTGGATGCTTTCAAACTTTAGCTTCCTCTTGCTAGTTCTCCAACGTTGCCTAACCTAGCTTTTAAGGTATCCTATGGTATTTCTACCATGTTCATCATCTAAGTTAAGCGTGTTAGCATGCAGGAAGGTCATTACTTACTAAAATTAAACTTTTGATCTGATGGCGCTGGAGAAAAAATCAGCCAGTCTGAACAATGTTTAATCTCTAGAACCATGGCTAATAAAACAAATCTAGTTATTATGACTTACTACTTGTAGATTTCCTATTACTTGTCAAAGTAGAGCAACACAATTAAAGCCTACATTTTAATTAGGAGCTTAGTATCCCCCTTTATTGCATCTTACATTTTGCAACATACGAACAGCTGGCCAATGGATTTGTGTGCAAGTTTGTGTGTTTTTATTGTGTGCTTCCATGCCTTTATTCTTCCATCCTGATTGAATGGATTGTGTGTCTGTATGTTTTGTTGTTATTGTGCCACCTCATGTTTGACAGTGTTTGTGGGTATGTATGTGTGTCTTTTTTTTGTTTACTCATGGGTCAGTGACTTTGAACTGCCAGTTTTAAACTTTATTGGATGCCTGAATAGCAATGAGACAATTATCTAAAGCCTATGATCCAGGACTCACTGTGTCCCGCTTATTAGAACTGGTCTGACACACCACAGCTGCACCCCTGTCACACTGATATGGAAATTAAGTGACATGCACACGCTGTGCCCACACAGACAAACACACACAGTAACAAATCAAAAGTCAGATAAGCAATAGAAAGGCAGGAATACAAAAAAGAGAGGCCTAGAGGGTAAATTATAGCATCTATTTTTCTTTAATGTTTTAACAGCCATATGACTTATAAATATATGACTTGTTTCTTAGAGTCTGTACTGTAAAATAAGCCCCATACTGAATCTATCATAGATTATTGATATCCTGCTTAAAACTATTACTGGGAACTTGGCTGCTCAAGCTATACAAATGTTTCCACTTTTGTAAATGATTGTACCTTGCAACTAAATCGCCAGAATATGAGAAGACAAACTTCAGTTCTGAGATTAGTTTTCCTTCAGTACAGACTAATGTCCACGCATCCATCCATCTTCATCCGCTTATCCGGGGTCAATTTGCAGGGACAGACTAATGTATCTAACAATATAGAACATTTTCTGCTGTGACACTAATAAAACTGTCAAAGATGGACTGGTATGGGTTTTACTGCAGCGGCACCTAATTTGCCCTGTCAGTATAATTATTGATAAAATGTTGAGTTGGAGAGTTTACATTCAAATAGTTTGGAGGAAAATGACAACAATCACCTCACAATGTATAAACCCAACAATTTATCAAACGGGGGATTTGTAGAGGGGTCGATAAAGAATTTAATTGAATAATTCTAACCCCCGCCTTGCGCCCGATGTCAGCTGGGATAGGCTCCAGCCCCCCCGCGACCCTGTACGCAGGATAAGCGGTTGTGGATGGATGGATGGATGGAATTCTAACCCCATGGGACACTGTCAGCCTCAACACTTGGAAAGCAAGTAAAACATACTGTAGGTTTAGAATTGGGGACATTTGTTAGACTTATTTTTAACCTGTGGCACATATCCAACAGGCCATTTTAGATAAGTATGTCACAAAATCCGCCTTGGGGAAATGCAGAAAAAGTATTATTGGCAGTTTTCATTTGAAACAACTACAAAACTGGGTAAAAGGAAGAAAAGAAATGTTTTGAGAAATGTGTTTCCACATTAATGTAAGAATAGTACAGAATGTCTATGAAGATTCTCAGTCATCCAGGTCATAGTTACCCAACGAAGGTTAAAATCAAGGGCAACTGGACTTGGTTGAAGATACTGGAAGACGTTTCGTCCCTCATCCAAAGGACTTCTTCAGTTCTGACTGACTGGCAGGGAAACTCAGCTATTTAACCTCAGTGGGGTCGTTGGCCCGGGTCATCGATACCGCTGGTTCGTTAGTGTTCCTTGTTGCTGTGACGACAGTCGTTACAGTCGTTAAGACTACCTGTGCCCAAGACTGAACGACCATCGTTGGTATCTTCACCTGAGGCCAATAGGTTACATTTGTTGAGTTTCCTGGGAAGTGATGAAAGGACAGCATTGTAAGTGGGGGATAAGTGGTGGCGTAGACCCCCTCCTCTGTTCAATGACGGCTTCTCGACCCTGGTGTAGATGGCTTCCTTGACACCTCTTTCAAACCATACATCTTCTCTGTCTAAAATGTGCACCTGGTGGTCCTTCGGATGAGGGACGAAACGTGAAACTAAAATGTGAAACATACCAAGTAAAAATACTAAATTTTGATTATATAATAAATTACAGGATGTTAATGGAAGTCAATAAACGTGATGAAATAAAAGGCCCAAAGCTATTGGAAGGTACATCTAAAATCTTGTTAAAATTCATATATGGATGTGCAAAACATTTAATGATTCAATTAAATCACCTTATTTTAGTCTGCATTTTCTGATGCAAATCCAAACACTTGTTGGTGGGCATTCTTAATACGCAAATAAGGCTGAAAATGACATCATACAAACCGGTACCTAGGTGACAGTGATGTTGGTTCATTCATTCCACAGTGAAGTGATGATGGTGATTAAAAAAATTCCGAACCATTCACTGTATGTGCGAAGCAGAGAAAGACAAACATCTGAATAGCTTGAAGAGAAGCCAAAACAATTGGAGGAGAATATTTGTTCACCTCAACAAGCAACAGAATAGTAACTTTATTTACTAAATCTTAGGGACAGTGAATTCTGAGGAAGCACGTGAACAGTAATTAGAAATGGGCACCAGCTTTATGTCACACTTTACACATACTTTACAAGACCGACATAATCACAGTAATAGTGTTTCGCAGTATGTTTGAGACCAACAGAGAGACAGCTCTACTGTTATTTACAGAAGTTAATGATGCAAAGCTGCGACATCTCACAGATTCACCCACAGCTACAGCTCTAAGATTAAATACTCTAAGACATTGTGACAGATTTTGTGAAACTCTGTTGCTGAGTTCTTCAAAATGCAACAATGGAACCACAACATCCCGCAGATTTGCCTGTTAGTACATTTTCACTATTCATCAAAAACAAAAATACTTGTCTCTTTTGTTAACATTTTGACATGTCACAGTAGGAAAAGCAAGGTGTAAACAATCAAATTAATGATGGCTGAATTCTATTTAGCTGCTTCAGTTTTAGGGTCCTGGCTCACTGTCACACTGTCATGACTAAGTGGGACATTATTATTATTAGCAATATATTAGCAACATCTGTACTCAAACAACAAAAACAAAATTATTATTAGAGCCTTCATTAATAATTTTAGTAACTTTTCAAGCAAAGATGTTGTTGTGGAAATTGTATATTTCCCAGTAAAGAATTAGGCAAATAAAAGAATGACAACAAATGTTGTCTTTTAATATTTATTAAAGAAAAGAACAAGGAAGTACGCAAACCAGCTGGTCCAGAGACCTGCCACCTAGGGCAGCTTCGAGCCTCTGGCCACAAGCAAAGGACAATCATAACATTAAAAGCAGAGTGGCCTTAACAACACCAGTTCACTTGGGAACGGAGAGGCATGAGACAAAACAATTCCTCAGATGTTCATACATTCTAACACACCCTGACATTAACTCTCGTATGGCATAGTGAGCAGTAGAGTGGCGCAGAAGTTGCCATCATTAGCAGAGGGATATAGACCTACAAGGTCATTACAAATGTCCTGTTGTTAGAGAGGGAACACCCTGAAATTAATGTGTGCTGTATTACTGGCAGAATAATGTTCACTAACCCTAGCCCTACAAGTTAAATGGCGCATGGCTAATGACTGACACCAGCTGCAGGAAAATGTAGCCTAGTGCTCTATGAACTGTGGTAGGCTGTGATACAGATTTAAAAAACTACTTTCTGTGGGTACAGAGTAATTGAAATTACATTGGTGACATACCCCCATACAAATAATTCATTTTAAGTATAAGATTCTCATATGGTTATAAAATGCACAGCGTTCTGCAGAGCACAGGGGAAGAGGAAGTGTGAGAGATTGATGAAGCCTATCCTTTTCCATTAGTGAGGCCCAGATCACATATCTCATCCCTAATGAGACAAATATTAGCTACAAACCCAACCACACGCACACACGGTCCCACGCGCCTGTGTGTATATATACATATATAAAAGGAATACACACTATAAAAGCATTGACTGTACACAGTTTTTGGTCATACCAAATAAATATGTTGCTCTAGATTGTACTTTTTTGTGTTCCTCTCCTGTATAACAACATATACAGACACATACACACATGATTATAACTGTGTGTGTGTGTGTGTGTGTGTGTGTGTACGTGTGTTTTTGCCCAAGTAACCATTCAGCTTTGGCCTCAGGTAGGTAAAGTAGCTGCTGAATAATGCGGTTACTGTGCATCACATATAGTGAGAACATTCTTTGCTCTCTGGTTATTTCTAATCATGATGACGACTCTGGAGTTTAAACGCCTAAAACAAGAACAAAGGTTTGTTTCTGCTGCGGATGGGTTATTTCACAAATTGGGGTTTGAATGTAATGCCAGGTTTGCAACACCGGTATCACCAAAACCAGTAGTTTAAATTGATAAGAACTTTAAACCTTTGATGGCAGAGTAGAGAATGAAGTAAACCTACCTGGGTACTCTTAGAAACATTCATCCTTTAAATCTGTTTGGGTATTACTGGGGCCTCTCCCTCCTACCAGACAGCTTTTTTGCAAATATCCCAGCTGGGAACATTCTCATTAGCAGACTAGAAAACTGCAAAAATATGCTGAATTTTCAGCCAGAAACCAGCTGGGCCACTGTGGCCAGGTGATGGCTATCTCCTCTTCTACTGTCAGTGGGGATAATGCTGTGGTGTGGTTGCAGTTCAGCAGTAATTGCATAAAGAAGTTTTGAGCAAAACACAAAGGAAATAGACTGCCATGTTTACACTTAATTGCAGACCTACATTTGTAAAAGATGAGGGGTTCAGGTGGTTTCTGCACAAACTGGACCCTAATTATGTTACCCCCCAAAAGGCATGTGTACAAACAGTATGTGTGCGCTTGGATAAAGCGTACATAAGCACATACATAAAGCTCTATTTGGGACCACCAAATACTACACCACTTTAAGTATGGATGCATACCTGCTGTTGACCATAAATTAAACAGTTTTGTTTTGGGAGTGGGAACATTGCCAAAGAGTCATACTGCCAAATAAGAGCCAGAGCGTCTCTCGTGGAGGTTTCAGGAAAAAAATCACAGATGCTGCAAATATGAACCTCGGGCATGCAATTTGCATTGCACATGCACTGACTTTAGTCTAAACAGTTCTGTCCCAACTCAGAAGCAGCAAGGGTATTGAATATGGCATTTATTGCATTGAATAACCATAAGAGCTTAATTGTTTTGTCTATAAAATGTCAAATATTTCATAAATGTCTATAATATTGGTCTATAAAATAGTGAAAAATACCCGTTGAAATTCATGAGAGCAGAAGATCCCATCTTCTTGTCTTTTTTGTTTGTCATCACAGGAGACTATAAACCAAGCAAATATTCACATATTAGAAGCTGGAAAAATGAATTCTAGGCATATTTGCTTGAAAAGTTACTAAAAGTATTAATCAAAGCTCTAATAATAAATTATGTTTGTTGTTTGCATATTTTTTATTATATATTTGGTTTGACAGACTTATCTTCCCCAGGGATATGCATCCTATCCCATCTTATCCTGACCTGTCCTAACCAATCCCATTTCTAAGTAGAGGATTATACCTGCTGAAGTGCAACTATGAGAACAAGTTGGATTACCACCACCTGCACTTATCCTGGATGTAGATGTAACGGGGTAGACCTGTATCAGCCAATTTTGAGTGCAGTGGTAGTGTGAGGGGTGAGCACTTAGAGTGAGTGCGCATTTGGTGGGTGTGGTTTTGCACTTGGGTTGATTGCATGGGTATGGACTAATGGCAGACAGGTGTGCTTGGGCATGACCTCATCTGCAAACTATTTAACCAGCCACACACTAAGCTCAAGAGTCTTCTGTTTGTCTCCTGTGTGCAGGTAGAGTGATTTTGACTGTCTTCTTCCCTGGGGGTAGCTCTTGTTATGTGGGCTGGTGGTAGTGTCTGTATGGGATGGTTTATAAATTGATGTTGTTGGGTCTTCTGTTTGTCTCCTGTATGCAGTGTGCGGGTGTGCTGAGGCTGCTGACTCTTTGCAAGAGTGTGGTACACAGCTGGGTCGTGGTCTGGGGAGCTGCCAGTGTAGAGCCACTGCTACTTAGTAGAGTTACCAGAGGCCCAAGCAGTGAGGCTACAACCGACCAGCCTGTGACCAACAGCAGACCCGTTCCTGTTGTGTTTGGCTTCGCCCACGCAGGAAGACGAAGTTGAGCACACCCAGCTATGACGAACTGCACTTCTGTTTAACAGTTTCCCCCCATTTGAGCTCTTTTTAACTATCTTAGCCTCAGTCTGGTTTTAACCCTTTGCATGTCCATTTTATACAAATAAATTTGGAGGTTATATTTTGTACAGCGTGTTTTATTGTTGCCCTCTTAGTTTATACACTGGTCAATAGGGAACTAGATTGGGGGTGTTACATAGACACTTGTTGGAAAAGTTCCTTCCACATACTGTGGCATCTGTTCAAGCCACTGGCTCCATCCTGGTATGACTAGAAAATCTATCCCCTAGCGACTGCAGAGGAATATAATAATACAGGTGACTGCTTCAGTGTGCTGTCAACCTTCAATGATGCCACCATGGAGCTGTCAGAGGAGGAGAGGGGCTCTGGCTCCAAGGCAAAACCACTATTAAAAATGATTGAATTCTCTGTCCTTGAAAAACATTCCTACTGTGACCACTCATTGCGGCCCACCTATCCACAGAGCTGCCGAGAAAACAACATGGCTGAAATCATAGGGCCCGATTTACTAACATCCCGAATAAAGAGTACTAAATTGCGTTGCATTCTAAAATAGTACACGTGCAATTTTAGTACCCGTTATGGGTGACTTACTAAGAATTATTGCGTAGATGACAACAGGAGCAAACACAATGGAGGTGGGAGTATTTAAATGAGGGTTTTGCTTGTTTTAATGGTTTCCGCCATGGAGAGTCGGGAGGGAAAGCAGCCACAGTGTAAAAACCCTAAGATTGCACTAAGTACTTGGGACAGAACACCTGGAAAAACTGCTTTGGGAAACCCCAGCAGAAACAGATACAGTATGCTAGATGACCCAGATGTGAGGAAATGCCAGCAAGTCGTGCTTCATCCAGCCAGAGTGAACAATCTCAGACCCTGATTAGGCATGGTGGTTGTCATGTCTGGAAACATATTCAGAATATATAGAGAAAAAACTGATTTTGAGGTAAGAAAGTACATTTTTTGACCAAGACTATTTTTTGTTTAATATATATATACTATTGCAGATAGAATTGTTTGATTTATATTAGATTGAAATATAGTTTCTTAGGCAACATGTGATGCATTTTTTCCTTTCTAATTTCAAACCACTATGGTAATACAGCTAGCCAGTACGGCTGACAGGGGTGGGGTGGGGTTATAACACTTCTTTAAAAAGTGTTACAACCATCCACGATACATAAAACTAGGTACTTTCTTGATTTTAATATTTTCCAGATTGCCCTATGCAGTCTGGGCCCACCAAACCCACACTCCAGGGTTACCAGCATTAATTTGTCAGAACTGTGACCAGTCCTCCCCATTCACATGTTGTACACGTGTTGGCGTGTGTATCGTCACTCGACCTTTTCCATACTCGGTCTCCACCGGTGGAGAGGGTAGAAAAGTGTATGGGCAGCTTGTGAGAAGTGCCCGGTATGCTAAAGAGTAAAATATAGAAGTGCTGGTATACTCACCGGTACGGTGAATACCAGCCCACTTCAAGCACTGACTGACTCTGAATAAGAATATACACACATTGACACACACACACACATACACCTCTTTTTATTTAGACCTAAAGATGTACAGAGATGTTCTTTAATTAATTACATTGTAGTAGTATTTATTAAGTATACTTTTTAGTTTAGTTTATTCTGTAGATAAATTTACATACACATACTGTACATGTGTGAGTCATCAGACAAAGGCTGTTACAGCAAGAGAGAAACCTTGTTCTTTTATATAACTACCTGTTTTGGAAGCATATCATATAGTATGGCATCTATTTTTGATTCTTTTGTGTGATTGTTACAACTTACCCCAGCATGTGTTGCAACCTACCCCGCTATTGGGGTAGGTTGCAACAAGGGAACACATTGCATTTTACATCAACTCACGAGGTCTGTGATATTCTTGTAGAGGATTGAATTGGTGCCATTTGTAGTGAACAAATGTGGGTATTTTGTATAAAAATTTGAGAACTCTAGCGAAAAGTGTTACAACCATACCCGGTCTCCCCTATGCCCCAACGCCACATTCCCTCTCCGATACATACAATTGGTTGTGTCGCTATATTACGACCGGCGCGCTGTGAACAGTTGGTGATCGTTCCCTCTGGCTGGATGAATTTTACGAGTGATCCTGCTCTACTGCAACTGGAGGCTCTCTGCAGCGCCACTCAACTTTCTAAACTCTTCCATCTCATGGAGGAAATAAATCAGGTCGAAACTAAATTTGCTTTATTGGCATGAATGTTAATACAACAGTATTGCCAAAGCTAAAGGAAAATACAAAAAAATCTATTCATATAGTTCATCGAATAAATAAGATATAATAATTGTATTTCTATATAGCCTATCAGATATAGAATAATATTATCTAATATTGTTAATACTCTACGTTTTCTTTCATTACGGCTGTGTCTCCTTCTGGCAACAATAACAGAAGCCATCTCTGCGCATTAGTGCAGAGTGGTAGCGACACTGAGGTCTTATTCTGTTTTTTTAGAGCCAGAATTGACTTGGATTTGGCTGCTTTAGATCAAAACATACATTAAAATAAACAAATTCCAGAATGATATTCTTGGCAGTGTTGGGAGGGCTTCGAAGCAGCATTTACATACAAGTTTGACTTTTTTCATTATTGCAACATAGCTAAAAAGAAATTCTGTCCTTGGCTGATGCAAAGATCCAAATTAATGCCTTTGTTTAATCTAGATTGGATTAATGTAACAATTTGATGACTGTCACTGAAAGTCTTCAAAAGGTTCCTAATGCTGCAACTAGGATCTAAACCACAAAATTTGACCATATTTCACCAATTTTAGCTTCACTTTATTTGTATCAGATCAGACTTCAAGGTACTTCTTATGACTTTTAAAAATATAAATAGGTTTACACCTTATTATCTCTCTGATCTCATTAAACCTTATGTCACATCCTCTCCACTCTCAGGCCTCCCATGTGTCCCAGAGTTAAAAAGAGTCAGCTGGCTGCTGAGCCTTTTCCTTTCATGCCCCTTTTCTCTAGAATAATGTTTGTGCTGACATCCGGCAGTCTGAGCTAAATTCCCATATTTTTGAGAAAGACAAACACCTGACAACTTTTAATTAGTACTTATCCTTCCGTACTTTACGCCTCATATCTGGGACTAATTTGCTTCCAGCAGGTTGGTCTCAGTCTCAGTCCATGTTTATCCAGCCAATGAGAAGTCAACAACTAACAGACTGCAAACGTTTTGATATTGACTGCATTTCTCTAACCCTCTGTGTTTTTTGTGCCCTAAAAGCTGCCAAGCTGTGCATGCTCCCCCTCCGCTCTCTCCCTCCTTCCCCCTAGCCTTCTGAGGCTTCTCTGTGCTTGACCACTGGACCACACCATCCATGGACCGCGCTGAGCCCTTGTCATTGATCAGGATCTTTGTCGCCCACAGGAGATTCAGCCTCTCCCCATCTCTCCCTCTCCCTGTAGTTTGCATGTTATCATGGCTCTCTGTCTCTCTGTTCGTTTCTCCTCTTGGTGTAGGTTTTCCTCTTCTGTTTTTGTGTGACCAATCCTCTTTCCAGGTTTCCATGGTGGCGAGGAGGTGGTGTGGTGAAATTAAGAATTGCAGAAAAAACATGTGAAGACTCCACAATCAAACATTTCTTAGGGAGGGTGAGATTGCACGGGAGGCACTTTAACCTCAGTATCTCTAAAATCCTGGCCACTGCCCTGCTTTTCACCTACATTCACTAGATATCGTATGACCTGGATGACTGACAAACCATTACAGACACAAAATGGGTGCCTTTGGCAACTGATGCAACTGGAGAAGTTAGCTTCAGGATTGCTGACAAGTTATTTGTAGAAGAAATGTTTGATTTTTGCCAGTCTCTTGCCCTGCTCTGCCTCTCAATTCTTACCATAGTCTAGGGATGATCTGACAATACCTAAATAAAATGCCCTTGAAGCTGACACCTCTCTGGTTCAGACTACATAGTGAAATAAAAGCTGACACTGCTACATCTGTGGTTACATATTAATTGATGCTTTAGGGAAAATACAGAATAATCAGTCAAAGATTACACTAACGTAAAACCAATTAACCTACATTATGAATATGCTGTGTGCCATCTTCAGGTTCTAATTTAATGGTGTAGTCTGTGACTATAAGGAAATGTTTGTTTTCTTTTCCTTGTTTGTTTATTATGCTGTGTGATAATCCAGGTCTATAAAATGTGTTATTAAAAAAACTAATTAGCACCTTTCAGATATACAGCACCACTGTGTCTGCTTCAAGAAACGCACATAGATGAATAACTCTTACAGGAGCAGCCATAAAAATGACTTCTAAGAGGATTGGTCCTGGTGGGCAGCCTCCCTGCAGTCCGAACTGACTCACCACCAGAGGGTGATTAGAGGGCAGCGCTGCACATGTTTTCCAATGACGCATGCTGATGTCCAAAACATATGGCTTCAGGTTTTGTTAAACAACTATAGAGTTAATCACCAGCCCAAGGAGCTCTGGCACTAATTGGTACTTATAAACCTCCATGTGTCAGAACAATAGATGCATTCTGGACTGTCCAGGAACAGCACATTGAGACTAGCTAGTGTACAATTGGTACTTAATGTCCCACTCCACCTCTGGATCCCCACCCCTCTAACCAAATTCCCTGAGCCAGTTAATTTTGTCAAGTTCAACATCATGTTATGCTTCTTCTTCTTCTTCTTAAGGCTGCTTTGCTCTTCCCTGTAGACACTGTCCTCATCCTTCATCTCGCAAATGTTGAGCAAATATTATGTTTCCTCCCCGTGATAGGATAGTCCTGGATGAAACTGGGGAATTCAGGGAGTCTCTGCAGCAAGCAGGTAGTGTGAACATCAGTTCATCACTGGTATGTTCTTCACATAGGGATTTACAATGAAACCACACAGCAGATTCTGAGAGAGATTATTTTAACAGGTGAAGTACGTTGACACATGCACACACAAACACACAGTTGAATGTAAAACCACATACATCAGTACACTCATGCACTTGAAGGAATAAACATCTCTCTCATGACCACCCATGATACACACTGAGGTGGGTGATCAGTCTTATTTTACAGCAACGTCTAGGGAGCAAGTTGCAAAAAT